CTCCTTTAAATATAAGTCCACAGGAAACTTATACGTAAATTTCATAACTAATCTTAAAACGAGATAAATTAATGCACTTTGTCGGACAACAACTGCTTGCCGTCATCTGATTGCAAAACTATAACACCAATACAATTCACCGATTATGTGCATAGTTCAGGATTAACATCAAAATTTTGAAAATTCCGCCATTTGCGGGACATTGAAAACAAACAACACACTGTAGATAAGTTTATAAAAAAGTACATCACACAAACGTTAAACACAAAAACTAAACAAATACCGATTTAACATCCAATGAGAGAACTACGTCACAGAACAAGTTCAGAATACCCTGATGCATAGTGCCATTGTTATTCACTGGCAAAATGCCACCAAATCAGAAAACAGCTGCGAGAGCCACCGTCACCTGTAGTGCCTGTGTCTAAAACCCCCCCTTATCCAGGCTTGAAATCGCCTGAGAAAATTCCTGTTCCATTTGCTCTGGAAAACACACTCATCTTTTCATTTTATCATTCTAGAAATTCAGTGGAACTCAAACTGTGTTACTTTTCTTGTTTACAAACTCTACCTTCATATTCAATCCAAGCTTTTTGGCAAGAGGCAGTCCATATGTTTCGTAACCGAAACGAGCTAAATCCCTGAGAGTCCGATCTCTCCACTCGTCATTTTTTGTATGAGACAACACATAACTTCTGGAACAAGCCTTCCTTTAATATAATGATATCTTTCGTACAATACTAGAGTAGTAATGAAAATAATTGCTTTTACCCTTTTTGAAAAGCCTGTTTACAGTTGCCGAAAATCAACTACCGCACCAGTTCAACTGTTTAAAAATTTTCGATTTTTCAAACACTAAATTTTCATATCTTTACGAAAAATATGAACGCTTTCCACAGCATCAATCCTTCATTTTTTAAAAAGCTACATCTAACCTTCCATATAAAGCTGCTCGAGTGTATCGCATAATTGCTTTGCGTTTCATTCTTGAGCCTCTTATATGTTGAATACTTTGAAGAAAAAATCCGTGACTTCTCTTCCTCCTATCAATTGATATCTGAAAAGCAATTGATTCACTCTTTATAATAAGGAATAAATGGATAATTGGTTCTATATCTTGATGTGTTCACTTAATACGAAATAATTTAATACCCTTAGGGTTTTCGGATAAACCTCGTAACCGCACCAAACCACGCAGCCGTCAGGCTCAACAATTTCCAATAAATGCTGATATTTTGCTAACGCCGCAGAAATGAAATTAATCTGAGTTTTTGTAGGATCTGCTTTCATATCATACCTGCAGCCAACTCCGTCTAAGAGGTGTAAAAGGAACTGAAAAACATCATGCTGCAACATCAGACCAGTTTCACAAGTTTGCAATTTTTGTCAAACAGAAGGTTTACCTCCTCTGCTAACTTCTGGTCAGTGGTCAACAAAAGATAATCATCTACATAGCGGATCAATAAGGCATCCGGACTCTTGAGCACTGAATTAAAAAAATCTCGCTCCATAGCACCCAAATACAAATCACAGAGCCGCGTTGATACAGCACTGCCTTGAGGTATGCCACGATGAGCAATATAAGTCCGATTATTGAATATTATCTAAATATTAATTGACATATAAGAAACAAATGAAGAGAAGGATTCAAAAGGGGAACCAGCTGTGAATGAGGGCCATAAAGGCTCAGAATTTTGAAGGTCTGTTTTTAAACAGAAAAACTCCACCTGATTGGAATAAAAGTACTAAACTCTGCGGAAAAAGGGTGACAAAAATTCCCATCGTGATTAGGTTAAAACTCACCAATCGGTTGACTATGGTGTCCTGAATAATTTTAATAGCGTCTTCCCAAGTGCCACGACTCTGGAAATTTTCTGTTTGGGATAAAGTAAAAAATCGATAAGCACAAATTTTTACTGCCAGACACAAATAACGAAGCAGGTGAAAAAGACGTTAAATGTTTTAAAGACGTTTTAGAGTTTCTGAAAGGTGTAGGCTAAGCTATACTATTTCAGAATCCATACGACTAAGCGAAGCCGCGTTATAACGAGCTATCTCCCTGCGAACTATAGTGGAAATAGGCAACTGTACCGTGTTCTTTTTCTTAGCATATCTCTCACATTTACAAAAAACTTTCCCGTACCGTGTCTTCCACCTTTGTCTCTTCAAAGCATAGTTGATTCGGAAATAAATAACCCTGCAATGGCGCTTAAGAGAGGTGTGTATCTACACAATGCAATAAAAGCAAAGCATTCAAAAAGAAGTAACAAGTGCTCACTTTAAAAAAAATATGAGTCTCAACTAAAATAGAACCTTTTCGGGTTGGCTACCGTCTCTAGAACTTCGCGCAGCTTTGACAAATTTATCCGGTCAAAGCAGTTAGAAAGATCTGTTTTCACGACAAAAATCTCCTTTTGCCGATTATGTTTTGCAAAATTTCGCACTCGGCGGAAGAAACTGTCGCAAGCTGCAATGATGCAGGAACAAAAAATTTTCACAAGACAAAAGGAAATGATGTAAAGAGCTAAAATTGTAAGAAAGCACATTGTTAACACTATTAAACTCTAAAGAGCAAAAGTTAAACTTCAAATGTTTCTCATGGCACTCTTAAAGCAGTAAAGGAAGAAAGTTCACTATAAAACGAACGCCACGCCTTACACTAAATTGCAAAAACCAGAAGTGCACAAAAAAAAGGAAAAAACCTCTTATCTAAAACATACAAGTTTAGCAAATAATATCCTTCTCAATCCTTACCACCCCAAATTGCAGCTCCTTTCAAAGGCAATCTATTGAACCTTCTTTGCTCTGTGGATACTTTATCTATGAGGCCAATCACCTTTTTCATCAATGTTTTCTCTAGACGTCTTTCATCTGTGCTTTTTGATGGAATCATTATCGGCCTCGTACAGTACTGTTTGGGGGCGAATCGTAACCAAGATCGAAAATATTTTCCAGTTTTGAAACGATCTTCCACTGTTTAAGATATTATTCAAATTAATGTAAATAAGCAAAAATTTCAAAATGTAACACCTTCTCAGTAATGTTGGTTACTGTACATCCTAAAAAACAGATTTACCAAGGGCAATGTCGCGTAGTTTTTGAAGCCTTTGAAATTCTTCTGTTTCAATCTTCCTCCAAATATCCTTCCGGTAAAAAACAAGTGTGCTTCTCGAACTGTCCTCCGTAACATAGAATGTTGCTCTAAATTAGTTGTTCCTTCCAAAAAACGCCGAGCTTTATGAAAAAATCCAAATAAATCTTTATTAAAGATTATAGAGTGACAAATTTTTTGTCCATCTTACGCCACTGTTTGCCATGATTATCTATTTATTCATACTAAAAAAAAAGTACGAAAAAATCTGCGAATTACGTTAAAACCTGATAGGTTTCGCAGACCGCTGCAATTAATTTCATTTACTCTTTTACATTAGCAGCAGAGATATTAGGAATACGAACAATGAGAAAAGAAAAATTAATGCGTTCTAACTCTGGAGCGAAAAAACAATAGCATTAATGATAACTTAAGTCAAGCTAATATTATCAGCTTTTCAAACCCAAATTTTCGTGACATCTCAAAACGATCGGCCAACATTGAATTTAACTCTTAAAATGGCAGTATTGGAAGGAATTGCAAAATAGTAAAGAACCTCGTAACAGCAGCGGCAATCCATATTATCCACGCTATAACCCTCTGGAAAAGAGTACTTTTAATTGCAAAATTTCGAACTACCCGTAGCCAATCCACTTTTGAGATCTTTAAGCATCTCAAAAAAATTTTTTTCGGCCAGATCGCTTCATGCCTGCTGAAATAATACAAGAAGTATAGTGAAAGTCAATGATCTATCTTGCAAACACATAGAACTTTTGTAAATTACCAAAGATTAAAAAGATTCTTTGCTGCAGCATCAATAACAGTTAAAAAATTCGCCTTTCCAAGAATTTTAACTGGAAGGAGGAACAGAAGCACTGCTCGTAAATACGATCGGAACTGCCCATAAGTCACAGCATTTCTAAAGTAATTAGCGTCTCAGTGCAATCAGCTAGCTAAAACATTACAAAATGTGCTTGATAAACAACCAAATTATCGAACTTGAGCATAACAGCTAAACTGTACCTTATTAGACCGCCAACATTTTTGACCACTCTCTTAGGGATGCGTAAATTAAGGATATACATCAGTGATAGACGTGACTGACTAAAATTAAAACTGTGAGAGGTTTAGAAAGAACAAACAACGTGTGTTGATACTTCTTTCAAAGGTCCCCTAGTCGTACTATTTGTCGTTAAAATTCCAAAACGCAGTTTAAAAAACGAAGTAGAGCTTTTTTGAATTAGATGAGGTCAAGTAATGAAGACGCATTTTTTTGTAGGAAACAGCAGACAGGAAGACGTAAAAGTTAATCACCGGCTACCAATTTCTCTGCAAATCTCTTCGAACAGTATACATACGGAAGTGTTTCTCAGTTCTGTGTATAATTCAATACCAAAAATTTGCGTGCATAGTAAAGAAGGATCAATTTTAGCTGACTTTATCTGAAGAATCCTTAATAATATGAAAATAAAGTAAATTTGAATTACAATGTACTTAAAGAAGACTTTTAAAAGTATGTCAAAAAATCTGAATGTATCGACACTTGCTGCTGCAGCTGCCACAGCCAAAAGTGCAAGCCAAAAATAAAACCAAAAAAAGACCTACTACATAGTGACGTTTCGGGGGCCACCTAAAAGCAGTTCTACTATAACAGATTGAAAGCCAGTTTGGCATTTGAAGATTATATTTCCTGCCAGTCGGTTCAGTTAAAACTTCCCCAGTTTTTTTTTTCCTTTAAAAAGCGTAAATGTTACGTATCAAACTTTGAAATAAACCAAATAGTTCATTTGGTTGAACTTCAAACGATAGAATGGAATTGCACTAAAAATAAAGGCAGGTAAAACTTTGAAAAATTACCACAGTTTACTAAAGCAAAGAAGCTGCCGGTTCTCTACAGTCCCCATGCTTCTAACACGTTTATACTTGTCTGAAAAGAAAGTTTACATTTTCAAAAGCAAACCTTAGCAAAAACCACGTCACATGTACGACTTTTACCAGTACAGTAGTTTCTCCAAATCTTAAGCTTTCTCCAGCGGTGACGTTTGGAGTGGAACAATTACACACAGCAATACTGAACTCATATAAACGTTTACGAAAACTAACTAGGTAAACTTAACTGAAAAGAGGCAAAAGCGTGAGGCACCTTCCCTTAACCTCCCGCCAACTAAATCACAGGCGTTAGGCGACGCCTAGCCGGTTAAAGAACTCTGTAGCAATGCAAAACCGAGGCTGCCTCATGCTGGAATCGAACCAGCGACCTTCTGTTTACTAGAAAGACGCTATGCCCCTGAGCCAATGTTTTAGGCAAGGTTTCTTTTATCCATTATTCAATGGAAAATTCTATTGACATTACCACTGTAAACTTGCCAAGTTAAATATGAATAGATTTAATGGTAGTCTGAAAAAAACGTTTAAGTTTCAAACCAATTTTATAAACCTCTTTCTGATTTGAACTAATAAAATGCTTGTCACAAAAGCTCTGCTCTACATAAAACACGTAAATTAGAACTATAGCGGTTCTCACTCGGTGAACCCTTTGCCTACACGAACATGGTAGGCGGGGTAGAAAATGATGCAACCACTTTTCTGAACCAGCACAGTGTCCTATTATTAAAAAAAAAAAA